AGTCTGGTTCTAGTCTGGTTCTAGTCTGGTTCTAGTCTGGTTCTGGTCTGGTTCTAGTCTGGTTCTGATCTGGTTTAGTCCTGGTTCTGGTCTGGTTCTGGTCTGGTTTGGCCCGGGTTTTAGAAAGTGCATTTTTAAATCTTCGTAAACTGTCAGAGTGACGCGTCTCGCTCACAGCAGAGAAGAGGCGTCATTACGTCACCACGCCGAACAGCGCCAGTCCTTGTACTTGGGAATAAAATACTTTTACATACAGGAAGAAGTACTTGTACACACTGGAGTACTGAGTACTGTGCGTTCTGTTGTGGAAAGTTTCATCAGTTTCATCAGTTTCATAAATCCAGACTCTTTATTTCAGATCAGTTTTAACTCTAAACAACATTTAAACATTAAATCTAAAAACACTCAGTTTTACAGAAGAAACTGGATTTTATCTGAAACACTCGGTCGATTTCCTCGTGTAGAATCATGTGTCAGTGAGAGTTCACACGTGTGTCCAGATATATTTATATATTTATATATTTATATATGTTGTATGTGTGTTTATCTATAGTGTGTGTTATAGATCATGTTTATATATTATATATTTATTGTCCAGTATCGTCCTGTTGATGTTCACATTTGCCTCATTCCAGCTGGAACATCACACCTGTCACTCTGTTATTGTAATTGAAAAAATACTAAAGTACTTCTACACACAGGAGTACTAAAGTACTTCTACACACAGGAGTACTAAAGTACTTCTACACACAGGAGTACTGAAGTACTTCTGCACACTGGAGTACTAAAGTACTTGTACACACAGGAGTACAAAGTACACACGTACTAAGTACTTGTACACACAGGAGTACTAAAGTACTTGTACACACAGGAGTACTAAAGTACTTGTACACACAGGAGTACTAAAGTACTTGTACACACAGGAGTACTAAAGTACTTGTACACACAGGAGTACTAAAGTACTTGTACACACAGGAGTACTAAAGTACTTCTGCACACAGGAGTACTAAAGTACTTGTACACACAGGAGTACTAAAGTACTTGTACACACAGGAGTACTAAAGTACTTGTACACACAGGAGTACTAAAGTACTTGTACACACAGGAGTACTAAAGTACACACAGAGTACTAAAGTACTTGTACACACAGGAGTACTAAAGTACTTGTACACACAGGAGTACTAAAGTACTTGTACACACAGGAGTACTAAAGTACTTGTACACACAGGAGTACTAAAGTACTTGTACACACAGGAGTACTAACTAGTACTAAAGTACTTGTACACACAGGAGTACTAAAGTACTTGTACACACAGGATACTAAAGTACTTGTACACACAGGAGTACAAAGTACTTGTACTAATGTACACACAGGAGTTACTAAGTACACACAGGAGTACTAAAGTACTTGTACACACAGGAGTACTAAAGTACTTGTACACACACCAGGACACTGAGGACGTCCCAGGTGTTTTCTTGGTAAAGTGGTGGTGGTTGTGAGTAAACGACTTGTGTGGAGCTGTTTTGTTTGTGATTTTCTTGAACAGGAGCAGGACTAAACCTCCTGAGGGTCGAACTCAGGTCCAACAACTGAACTGGAGAATATTGAAACCAGGAGCCAGGACCATGAAAACTGAACCCACCACGATAATAAAAATAAAAATAAAAACAAACACTTTTCTGTAGATAATCTCCTGTGATTTTCCACATTAAAGGGTTGAACTTTATTTTCTATTCCCACATGTTTTATATCTGTGTTTATCTGGTTTAGTCCTGGTTTAGTCCTGGTTTAGTCCTGGTTTAGTCCTGGTTTAGTCCTGGTTTAGTTCTGTATTGGACTTGGTTTAGTCCTGGTTTAGTCCTGGTTTAGTCCTGGTTTAGTCCTGGTTTAGTCCTGGTTTAGTCCTGTTTAGTTTGTCCTGGTTTAGTCTGGTTTAGTCCTGGTTTAGTCCTGGTTTAGTCCTGGTTTAGTCCTGGTTTAGTCCTGGTTTAGTCCTGGTTTAGTCCTGGTTTAGTTCTGTATTGGACCGCGCCTTCACTGATTTGTTTTATGTAAACCAGATTCAGATCTGGACCTGGTTTGAATTTCAAATTAGTTTCTTTCCAAATGAGGATTCACCTGAGTCCAGAGCAGCACACAGGACCTGCCCGCGCCACGGTAAGACCACACCTGGTCCAGTCCTGGTCTAGACCTGGTCTAGACCTGCTTTAGTCCTTATTTAGACCTGGTTTAGTCCTGGTTTAGTCCTGGTTTAGTTCTGGTTTAGTCCTGGTTTAGTCCTGGTTTAGTCCTGGTTTAGACCTGGTTTAGTCCTGGTTTAGTCCTGTTTTAGTTCTGGGTTTAGTCCTGGTTTAGTCCTGGTTTAGTTCTGGTTTAGTTCTGGTTTAGTCCTGGTTTAGACCTGGTTTAGTCCTGGTTTAGTTCTGGTTTAGTCCTGGTTTAGTCCTGTTTTAGTTCTGGGTTTAGTCCTGGTTTAGTCCTGGTTTAGTTCTGGTTTAGTCCTGGTTTAGTCCTGGTTTAGTCCTGGTTTAGTTTGTCAGATTTGTCGTGTTATGTTTTTAAAAACAGTTCCATGTCGCTGTTTCGACTTTGAGGTTTAATTGTCGACGGGACAAACTTTATTTTTTTTTAATGTTTTTCCAACATGAATCATAGAAATGTGAGTCTGTTAAACTTGACTCTCATGATCCGTTTAGAGCAGAAAGTGTAAAGAGATGTGGGCGACCTGAGCGTGGGGGGGGTGACCTGAGCGTGGGGGGGGTGACCTGAGCGTGGGGGGGGGGGGGGGATCTGAGCGTGTGTGTGTGTGGGGGGGACCTGAGCGTGGGGGGGGGACCTGGGGTGGGGGGGGGTGACCTGAGCGTGGGGGGGGGGGGGGTGACCTGAGCGTGGTGTGTGGGGGGGTGACCTGAGCGTGGGGGGGGTGACCTGAGCGTGGGGGGGGGGGGGGGTGGGGTGGGGGGGGGGACGTGGGGGGGGGGGGGGGGGGTCGGTGACTCGTCTGTTTGTTTGATGAAATAATCGTATAAATTTCACCGAAAATAGTTTAAGTCAAATCTGAAATCAAAAGTTGTGACTGTGTTTTAGGAAAAGTCCTGCTCCATCATGTTTCTGCAGCTGCTCCTGCTCCTGCTGATCCCCACCTGCACAGGTAAGCACCCCAAACTCACCCCAAACTCACTCCAAACTCACTCCAAACTCACTCCAAACTCACCCAAACTCACTCCAAACTCACCCCAAACTCACCCCAAACTCACAAACTCACTCCAAACTCACCCCAAACTCACTCCAAACTCACCCCAAACTCACTCCAAACTCACTCCAAACTCACCCCAAACTCACTCCAAACTCACCCCCGACTCACCCCAAACTCACTCCAAACTCACTCCAAACTCACCCCAAACTCACTCCAAACTCACCAAACTCACCCCAAACTCACCCCGACTCACCCCAAACTCACTCCAAACTCACTCCAAACTCACCCCAAACTCACCCCCGACTCACCCCAAACTCACTCCAAACTCACCCTAAACTCACCCCAAACTCACTCCAAACTCACCCCCGACTCACCCCAAACTCACTCCAAACTCACTCCAAACTCACCCCAAACTCACCCCGAACACACCCCCGACTCACCCCGAACACACACCCGACTCACCCCGAACTCACCCCGAACTCACCCCGAACACACACCCAAACACACCCCCGACTCACCCTGACTCACCCTGAACTCACTCCAAACTCACTCCAAACATGCACCCGACTCACCCCGACCACACCCCAAACACACTTAAACTCACCCCGAACTCACTCCAAACTCACCCCAAACACACTTCAAACTCACCCCGACCTACCCCAAACACACTCTACAAACCTCATCTGTTGTGAGGAAATGTCCCTGAGGTCTCTGAGGTGAGCAGGTCAGAGCCAGTCACCTCTGGATTATCACCTGATGATGTCACGAGGTGGAGTAGACACAACCGTAGGATAAAGTGCAGCTCAGAGACGGGTCGGGGGGGGGGGCACTACAGCAGGTCAAAGGTCAAAGGTGAACAGAGGGTGTTTGTGTTGCAGAGGGCATGAGCGTGGGCGTGAAGTTTGTGGCGGCGTTTCTGGAGAACACGGCGTATTACCACCCGTCTCCCGTCTACCTGAGCATCTGGACCATGGCTCTGCACGACGGCACCGACGTCACCGTGACCACGTCCGGCTCCACCCCCTACACCGCCACCGCCCAACTGAACTCCGGCCAGACTCAGGTCTTCAACATCACGTCGGAGCTGGAGCTGGACAAGAGCCCCACCGCTTCCAAAGTGGTGACCATCACAGGCACCCAGAACATCTCCGTGGAGATCCTGAGCTCCAGAAACAACAGCATCCAGACGGCGGTGCTGATGCCCACGGCGCAGCTGGCACAGGAGTACCACCTGCCCCCCATCCCGGAGATCCAGAGGACCACCGTGCCCTCCATCGACGTGACCAACCTGGTGACGGAGCGAAGTCAGTTCAGACTCATCCTGGTGAACGACGACCAGAACAACAACATCACTCTGGACGGGAAGTCGGTGAACCTGAGCCCCGGGGAGGTGAAGCAGCTGTGGGTGGACGACACCATGAAGGGGAAGGTGGTGTCCGGCCAGGCTCCGTTCCTGGCGCTGTTTGGGCACCCGTGCGCCATCCAGGTACAAACATCATCAGAATAATTAAGCAAAAACAAAAAACATCTAAAAACATGAAGCTCCAACAAAGAGAACGGCCAGTTTACATCTGTGTTAAACACAAAGTTAAAGTAGTGAAGTACTGCAGTACACATTTAAGCTCCTGTACTTTACTTGAGTACTTTTTAAAGAGGTACTTTTTACTTTTACTTTTTTAGAGCAGGTAGTTGAACTTTCTACAGATTATTGAACAGGACTGAAGAGTAAAAGTATCAGTAGTTATTAGTAAAAGGAGAAGCAAAGGTGACAGTGTTTAAAAGTACATTTTTAAACAATGTACT